AGTGTGCTTTTTGTTTTAATTCTATTTTTGATTAAGCAATAGTATAAATTTCTTTTTTGAATTTAAGTTGTAACTTATTTTGCTACTTTCTGCGTAGTATTGCATAAAGCAGACAATTATATATACGTTTAAATTTACAAGTTCAATGTTAAAAAAATCAGTAATCTAATTCGAAAAAGTTATTTTACAATCATACTTAAGCCTGAAGATGCTAGATTGTGATAAAATGTCTTTTGTTCGAGATATTTCTTTCTTTTGTTGAGAATAACTTACTAGGGTAACAAAAACATAATAATAAGTGGTACTATAAACATAATGATCATGATTTAAAAGACATGAATACAATTATATCTCAACATGGTACATAGAATCAAATTGGTTAGAGAGATAACTAACAGTTAATATACGTATATACGTATATCATTATGCATGATCATAATTATACAAATAGCATATTTGATTTTAATATAAAATGTTTAATGCTAATTTAGAATAAAGACAATGAAGATAATAAAATTAGCAATAGTGCTAACCGTAAAGTATTTGGTTATTGAATTGATATTGATATTGGATTGATCAATTAAGCATAATGTATATATTGTAATAGTCTCTTTTAGATTACATGTTCAACATCTTAATATTTATTTGTATTTGTTTTTTAATTTATTATACTAATGTGATTTTAATTTTTATTATCAGCGTTTGTTTGGTGATTTATTGTACTGCAATAATCATACTTTTTTTTTTTTTTTCCGGTATTAAGGTGAGGTCTTGCCTCGTATCTTTATTAGATATTAAATTTTTGCCTCGGTCCTTAATGGCCTCCCAATTTGGTATACCTGTTATTCGAAGTATTTGCAATAATCATACTTATCGTGACAGGAATGATTGTGTTTATAATTAATTTATCATGCTAGAATGATCGTGCTTATAATTAAAATATAAACCTTAAATATAGCACTTTTTAAATAAAATCTTCTACAAAAAATAGTTTTTTTAAAAATTTTACCACTTAATCAACAGTCATGTCAAACTGCTTAAATCGTCTAAATAAAACTGAATTAGAAATTTCTAAGCTAGGAGATTATCCCCAAAGCTCCACAATTACTTATAAAGAAAAAAAAATAATATAGCACAACGGTCATTTAAATATTTTATAGAGGCAGAAGGGTTTTATCCAGATGTTTCTAACTTTGCTATATATTGCCTCCTAATAAGTATCTAATCTTTGATAATTATTCTGTGAGAACCAGCTAGGGATATAATGAAAATCAGCAAACCATTTAGTATAAAATAATATATAAAAATGAAAGCCCAGAATTTCAAATTCAATTTGGTAACTTTTTTGAATATGAAGTTAAATCGTATATATCTGCTTCCATGACTGCAACAAATTACAAAAAAACTATAAATAAAATGAGTTAATTATCTGGACCATTGTTATTTGGATTACAGCTCCAGATGCTTAGAGAATCTCAAAATAGGCAATATTTAATTAATTTGGCAAATCATAATAAGTGTATGAGACAAGATTTAATTAAACCTGCAGGTCATTGTTCTGAATCAGCACTTGATAAGCATGCAAAAGATGTTGCAACAATGATTAAAGAAATATTTATTCAAAATTCTGTGTTTAAATATCATGAAAAAGACTTTATTTTATTAAAGTTGTTTGAATATACTGTTAACGGCCAGAATTATTATCTTAGCTTTGGAACAGATAATATACAAAAAGAGTGTGATATTTTAAATATAGTTAAAATAATGGATTCGAATTATATTTCTCGCAATGCTTATCGAAGTTTAGCTGCAATAGATTATTACTTACTATGTGAACACCTTGTTGTAATTTAACCCAAAGAATGACTAAAAATATTTCAATTAAACTTGTTAATATAAACATGAAAATAGATAGCTTGAAAATTGTCAAAGATGATGTTGAAGATGTTGAAGAAGATATTGAAGAAGAGCCTGATAATATAGATTTTAATAAAGTTTTAAACTCAGTGAATGTTGATGGATATTATGATTGTAAAGGAATTCTTCGATATCTAATTCCTTATTTAGTACGTAAAGATATATTATCAATTAATAATCTGATAATCTATTTGCAAATTTCTGGTGATGGCTGAAATATAGATCAGAAAGTTAAATATGTTATAGTTATCTTCATGATTCTTAATAATCAAGAGCACCATCATATACCTAGTTATTATCATACTATTACATTATATCCAGGAATTGAGAAATATGAATTGCTTGAGATCATATTAAATTTATTTCTCAATAATCTTAAAGATCTTAAGGTTAACAGGTTGGAGGTTGAAGGTACTCTTTGGCACTTTGAGCTGTATTTTAGTAGTGATTAGAAATTCCTCTCAATCTGTCTTGGACTAAATGCAGCTAATTCGAATTATTTTTGCGTTTGGTGTCTTTGTTCTAAGTATAAAATTGGTGATATAATACGGAACTGGTGTATTACAAAACCAATGAGCAATTTAAAAAATAACAACTACATTAATATATCTAGCTATATCTAACTGCCACTATTTGATATAATTCCTTTGTCCAACTATATATTTGATGAGCTGCATGCATTATTACAGGTTGAAGATCAGCTCTGGACTTTAATATTATCAGAAATTAAAGAACAGAATTTATTTAATAATATTAGTCACCAAATTATTGTGGACAAAATGGATTATCTTGGTATCAAATTTTAGTTTTGGAAAGAGTCTACTAAGTGGAAATACACATCATTATCTGGCGATGATAAAATTAAAGTATTAAAATATTTTAATTTATCTGCTCTTTTTTGCCCAAGCTGAGCCTAACTAATTCGGTCTTTGTGGGACAAATTTATTAAACTATATATGGTGATATGTAATCAAGATAGTGATTCTTTATATTTAAAGTATCTGGCATTTGAATGGTTAAAACTTTTTCTAAAACCTGATAATCCAAAAAATCTGCAAAATATCATCAAAGGTCTCTATTTACCAAATCATGTAACTTCCTACATTTATTTTTTAGTATTTCATGGATGGGAGTTATATCAAAACCATAAACAATAGGGGTTAAAAGTATTTTCTTGTAGTGCAGTTAAAAAAAAAATCATATGCAAGTATCTTTTTTTTTTTCGAAAAACTGCTATGAATAGCAAAATTCTTAAAAATAATGCAGCTACAATTAAAATTTTAGAACATGAATCACAGAATCTTTTTTTTATTTATAATGACCCTTCTAGACAAAAAGTTAAAAAACTTCGTATTAATTAAATAATATATATAATATATAAGTTGTATAACATAATTACATTATTTTACCATTTGATCAGCATGTGAAATTCAATTTTGGTTTTTCAGTATATTGAGAACATTGAATTTCACACAATAACATTTACTAAAAAAACAATTTACTATCAAATATATAGTATGTAGCAAATATGCTTTAATATAATTCTAAAATCTTTAATAAAAGAAAGGTAGAGCATTTGGCTCGAATCTTTGACCTTTATTTATTTAAATAAGGATTCTTGATCAGTATTGTTGACTAGAAGCCTCGCTAGAACTCTACTAGAAGAAAATTATAGTAATAATACTACTGAAACTTTTACTATTGTAAATTTCTACTAGAAGTTTAAAAATTCTTACTAAAAACAAAATTTAACAATACTGATCTTGATTTTGAATGCTATATCAAATGTACAAGCCCTAACAGCTAAGTATTAAATTTTGATTTTATATTGTTATTTGCTTCAGCTTACTAATGCCTCTGTATTTTTCTAAATAATAGTAGTGAGTTATGCAATTAGTGATTCACAGACTAAATTCAGAAGAATATTCATATCATGTAATTAGATTAATTTGAATTTTACTCGAGTTATTTGAGCTACAATTTAAATTTTATCAAGAAATTTTAAAAACATTTAATAAATATTAACTAACGCATAGTATTAGTTAATACTTAAAAGTATAAAAAAACAAACCTTTCATAGATTAACACATTAAAAAATTAGTATAACAATGTATTAAGCAACAAATTTTGTTAACTAACATATTTTAAAACTACATTATTTAATATTAAACAACAAAATTTTTATTAACTAACGTGTTTTAAAACCGCATTATTTAATGCTAAACAATTTTTTTATTTTATTAATTAATATATTTCAAAACAGTATTTTTTTTATGTTAAACAACAAAATATAGTTAACTAATACTATTTAAAAACTTAATATTATATATTAAAAAACTTTTGACAACTTACTGTATAGCACTGACTACAGTACCCCAGGTACTTTTCAATAAACCATCAAATTTCTTGAATAGTACCCACCTGGGTACTATTTACAGAGAGGGTATACAAGTATGGAGGTATTTTGTAATGAGGATACTATAGCAGAGGTCTTTTACATAGTTATAATAAAATTACCGTATAGATGGCTCACAAAGGTGCTGTGATGTAATTTATAGCATAGCTGCAGTATATGATTTACCAATATATATCGATATACTTCGTAATTAAATATAATTAATAAATTAACTAACGGTGTATCATAAATTACTTCATAATTGTATCAGTAAATCGCGATATAAAAGAAATCAAATTTTTATTTTTTTTTTTTTACCTGTTAACCTGTTAAAGTTATAATGGTACGCGTACGTGGAAATAAGAATAGTGGACATGCGAGAGTAATAAATAAAACAAGATGGCAATGGAATGCACGTGAAAAACTTGCTATTGTTACATACTTTGAAAAGCACCCAAGTCAGAGTGTTCGAGCAACA